AAAAGAAAAGAAAAGAAAAGAAAAAAGAAAAGAAAAGAAAAGAAAAGAAAAGAAAAGAAAACGATTTTGCTATCAAAAGGTAAGCAAAGAGCCGTAACCTTCCTGAGGTTGTTTTGGTGAAAGAGTGAAGTTTTGGGGTCGAGTACCGCCGGGCGCAGGCGGGAGTGGAATCGATCAATTCACCGCACCCCCCACCCACCCCCAAGTGCTGAAACCTTTCAAAAAAGCGGGTCTCCCACGGGGCAGCAGCGCTGCGGAATCGGGCGAGAGACCCGACTGCTCCGGGCCAGCAGAAACGCAGGCGGCGCGGCTGGCAGGGAAGCCTCATCACCGTAGCACAAAAGCAGCCAGAAAATATTTCCCGGCGGGCGGGGGAAGCCGGAGGCGCCCGGACGAGGCAGCAGCGCGACCCGGGAAGCAGAGGTGCGAAGTCGCGGAGCGGAGCGCGCAAGCGGCGCCCACCGCGCCCGCGGGAGAGCCCGCGGGGCGAACCTCCGTTTCGATCTGTGAGCTTGGAAACGGCGGCGAAGCGACAGCCGCCCCTCCAGTGGCCCAGAAACGTTAGAAGCCAGCCCGTGCTGTGTGCTGAAAGCGCACTGATAGATAGCGAGGAAGCTGCACTTCTACTCGGTGCTATCGAAAAATTCCGATTTTTCTGAGACCCCCGGCCTTGTAGACCGGGATGTAGCCCTCCCACTATTTGGGAAATCTGCAAAATCCACTCTAAGGCTCAAGAACGCTCTTCTGGGGGCTTGGGGGAGGGCGAATATGCTCCCAACATTTCTTCTGTGTCATTGGCTATGCTCATAAATACCGCTCTTAACCTGGATCTTGAATTAAACCATCTTTCGGGGTTTGCAGAATGGGACCACTAACCAAACAGCTTGAGCAAGCCCAACAGCCGGTTTAAACTCATCAGGGTTAGAGTGCGGTGGGAATGCAGCTACTCTGTTTTCCACTGAGCTGGTTGTGTGTACGGGGTGAAGATAGCCATTGTTTGCTCTATTTTTTAATTATTAAATTTATATGCCGCCCATCTCCCCTCCACCCTAGCAGATCTAGGGCAGGGAGTGGGGGAGAAAGAATGATCATTTTACATGGCTGCAGCTTCTTCTCTTCAATGCAACACCATGAGGTCTAGGAACTTGGTGGGGTGGGATGACAAGAGAAGGGGGCTGCTAGCCATCAGAAGACTGGCTGGGGGTGAGGACTGTATTCTGCCAGCAAAACCAGCATCGATTTCTTGTAGCCTGTGGGACAGACTTTCCCAATCTGAGGTCTTCCAGATGTGCCTTGCAGCTAAGCTTGCCCAAACCCCAAACCTTTTACCTAAAAACTGGAATGGGAGTTAATCATCTCCATCGATTTGAAAGAGATCAGGTGGAGGAACCTTCCCTAATTCTGTAAGATTGTCCAGAGCAAAGTCATTTGCAATTTGCTGCATTTCATAGAATAGGCTGCTATTCTGTTCTATCCACTTGAAAGGGGTCCCTGAGGTCATCAAGTCAACCCTTGGCTCAGTGCAGTGTCCCAAATTACAACAGCTGTCTCCAAAAGTTTTCTAGTTCCTGCTGGGACATATCAGGGGAAGGGAGCAAGTCCTGCAAGATTGAGTGGGGGGGCTTTATCCAATTGGACTGTTTAGAGCAGTGTTTCTCAACCTTGGGAACTTTAAGACGGGTGGACTTCAACTCCCAGAATCCTGGCTGGTGAATTCTGGGAGTTGAAGTCCACCCATCTTAAAGTTCCCAAGGTTGAGAAACACTGATTTAGAGGCCCCAGGTATAATTTTAGGAATAAAACAGGGGTGCTTGACATTCTGTGGACCATCAATTAAAACTGAGCATCTGTGCTTGGAAAGAAACCCTCAGCACCATCACTGGTTTGGGGAGCGTTTTCCAAAGAGCAGGCTCAGAGTTTGGAGCACATCTCCAAACACCTGTATTTGCTTCCAGAGTGGCAGTCGAGTTCATCCATTGCAGGTCTCTTTTTTGGGCTAATTTCCCATTGTGCTCATTGGGAAATGATTCTGAATAAACATATCTTAATCTGGGGAACCCCTATTCCTGCAGCATTTGGCAATCTGACGATGCATTCCTCCTGGTTTTCTCTTTCCACCCCACCTTGAATCCATACCAGAAAGTGAATTTCTGGGGAGAGGTTTACTTAAGAGTAAGGAGACAACCAGCTTAATTCCAGTTAAAATCACCTGCACCTTAATCTCACCTTCGCCCCTCTCCCCAAGTCACTTAAGGGTGACTTCATATTTCTTGGGGAGAATTCCACTGAATTGCATCAATTAGGCTGTGATCCAACTTAATGGGTAGTGAATCCTATAATGTGCATCTCGTGTAAGTAAAAATATATCAGGCTGGGCTGATAAATCACTGGTATGGCTGTCAATGTAGGCACAATTACCTGGGAATACTATTGTTTATAGTTGATTAATTGATTGGTTGATTGATTGATTGATTGATTGATGTGCCATCGAGTCCGTGTTGACTCTTAGTGATCACATAGATAGATTTTCTCCAGGAGGATCTGTCCCCAACATGGTCTTTCAGGTCTTCCCCCATCACCACTTTATGAGTCCATCCACCTGGCTGCTGGTCATCCTCTTTTCTTTCCTTCTACTTTTCACATTTTTTTTATGATTAAAGATTTTTTAAAAAGAAGATAAAAATGAATACAAACTAATATAAAGTAAGCAAAAGAAAGAAATCAAAGAGAAAGGTAAAAGTCCAAGAAAGGGAAAAAAAGTAAAAAAATAGAAAAGAAAGAAAAAAAGATACAAAGAAGTCGCTTCTGATCTTCTTTACAGCAGTTATAAGTCCAATTATAAATTTACCTCTTACTCTATGGTTACGACATGACTCTCTTCTTTCCATAACCTATCCTGTCTAATCATCAAAACCATAAATCATAAGTTCATTTTTTCTGTTTCACGCAAAAACAGAGGGGTTTTTCTATAAGGGGTTTCCAGTCTGCAATAAATGTAGATATTGTCGTTTCTCTGATCAATTTAGCCATCTCAGCGAGTCCCATCATCTTCACCAACCGTTCCTCCGTTGTGGGTATGGCCAGGTCTTTTCATCTTCGTGCATACAATAATCTTGCTGCAGGTATCATATACAAAAACAAAGTTCCATAACTTCTTTCCAACTCTTTGTCCATCAATCCCAAAAGAAAGATCTCTGGTTTCAATTGTATATTAATCATTAAAATCCTCTGAATCAGTATGTGTATTTGAATCCAGTATTTTCTAGCTTTTTTACACATCCACCAAGCAAGGTAAAATGTCCCTTCTTCTTGTTCACATTTCCAGCATAAATTTGAAGTGCCTTTATACATTCCAGACAATTTCTCTGGTGACATATGCCACTCTCTTTCCTTCTACTTTTCTCAGGACTGTGGACTTCTCACAAGAACGGGGTCTTGCCTGATGGGCCCAAAATATGATCATCTGAGCCTGGTAGTTGTGCCTCGAGTGAGAACTCTGGACTGAATTGTTCAATGAGCCCATACATCTTCTTTTAAGATAGAATAGGCTTCTATTCTGTTCTATCCACTTGAAAGGGGTTCCTGAGGTCATCAAGTCAGCCCTTTTTTTTAAGATAGGTCTGCCTATCTTAATGACGATAATAATCATCTTCAAACAAGCACATCTGCCTATCCCAGGTCCTTGGGAAGGACTTGATAGGTGGACAAAAATGCCAAATCCAGTCTAAACATCTGGCTGACTGTGCGACCCACCATAATAATAATAATACATTTCTAAAATCAGACGGTAGATGCTGCAGGTCTCAAATCAAAATAGCTACAAATATGATGTGATTTATGCTGGAGAATGTGAAAATGTGGGGATGTGTGGAGAAAGGAGCACATGCAGAGCTGAGTGAAGTCAGGAGGCTAGGCAGGTAGGGTGGGTGGGAATATATATTTCTGATAAATAGAAGGAATCAAGAAAAAAAGTGGAATGCCTATTTATGCAATTTCATTGCCAGCGACTAACAGTTATAAATGTAGAAGAAAAGACTTGACTTTCTTTTTCTGGGAGGGGCAACTGGTTTTGTGGAAGTATGACTGGGATGAAGAAACAAGTTTTTCTGGGTGACTCCAACAGCTTTTCAGTCTAGACGTGGCCAAAAGTAGATTTGTATCTGAATAACACCCATTCCTGGGGAACAATCACAGGTTGTGTTGGGGGTGGGGGGAAGAAAGCTTAACTCCTGGTGCTTAAATTGGTGGCTTAAACATCTGGTCTGGCCACTGTGGGAAGCTGGATTAGACTAGTGAAGCAGATCTTCTTTTGATCTTCTTAGAGTTTCCCATGGGAAGATAAGCAGAGGGTTGCCCAAACTTTGTGTAAAGGATCTACAGAGATCCCACACTTCCACACTATCATGTACTTGGGCTTTTTCCCTGTTGACAACTATGTGGAATCCTTCTTTTATTACACAAATCTTGGTCAGCCTCTAGAGAATTCAGCAGGGCTTATCCTGGTCTCCAAAGTGGCCTTCTATATGGAGAGCTTTGGGGGCCAGATCTGCTAACTCAGCTGTAGAAAAAAAGAATTTGTTGAGTTCACCTGGCTGTTTTCAAAGAGGTCAAATGGAGTTGCAAAAGGGACCTACAACATCTGGAGAGTAAAGGAACAAGACAGGTAGTACAGAATTCAGATAATGACCTCAAGATATCTGTTCTGTGATGTGCCTGAAGTTTGAAAGCATTGATGTCAGAGGTGGTTTGAAGGATGGTAGATGTCAGTTCCATACAACTAAAATTATAGGCATTATAGAATAGCTTTGCCCATCTTGGCATCTTCCAGATGTGCTGAACCCAAGAGTGTTTAAAGGGGTTGGAGTGACATCTCATGCAGTATGATGAAATCATTTTTTCCATTTGCAAGATGACATCATGACACACATGACATCAACATGGCTTCTCCTGGGTGCCTGGTTGGCTTGCAATCACGGCCTTACCATCTGAAGATGATGGGAGCCATAATCCAACCCATTCTGGGGGGCATCAGATTGGAGAAGGCTGTCATAGACACCAAAGACTTGAAGGGATGAGGTT